ACTTGAACCTATATGGGATACGATATGCATAGTAAAGACTAACTTTATTTATTCATATTGGATTCAATTTCAAGGGCTAACTCACGCTAATATACTAAAATTTGAGAACGGTTAAAGCGTAGTCCATCATGTGGTCAATCTCCCTAAATTTTCAGCGAATCCGATTAATAATTTTAACTATTTATACGACTATACAACTTATTTGTAGCCAAACCGCCGAGACTTATAACAGCTCAATAATTTTAATTTTTTAAATGACTTAAAAATGGGAAGATGATCGGACGTTTACGGTTCTCTCTATATACAATAAATCTATGTTGTTAGAAAATCTGATTATCAAAGATCTTCTGTCTTGTATAATATTAATTTTAAAGATATTTCACTTTTGCTATGCATTAAATAATATCAGTTAACTAAAGTACAACATAACAAAAATCCCTAATCAAAAATACCATCATCCCTTCCTCCATATCTTGCAACTTCTGCGGCCCTTCGCTTCTCTTTACCCTTTGCTTGATTCCGTTTATGATAACTATGAGTCGTGTTATTTGGTAGTTTCCGATTTCTTTTTGATAATGATTGTGTCACACGTTTTTTTATTTCGACATCAGTAAGACGAGTTGTGGATAATGATGGATTAGTGGATATCGACCGAATTTCTGTAATGTCACGATGTGCGGAATATGTTCGGTTTATATTTTTTGGTTTTGGATCATCATCATCATCATCATCATCATCATCATCATCATGTGATAAAGATGAATCTTCACGTTCAGATTCATTTTCATTCCTTTTTAATTCAGATTCATTTTCCTTTGTTGTTAATTCAGATTCAGATTCATTAGCTATTAATTCGGACTTATTTTCAACGTTACTGTCAATAGCTTTATCGCCGTCATCATCATCGTTTTCGGAAAAATCTTCGTTGTTATCAAAGTCATTTTGATGTGATAACTCAGACGTTTGATCTTGACATTCATTCAACTCAACTCGATACTTAATTTACATATTTAAATTAAAACTAAATAAACGAATGAATAAAATTGACACAAATTAAGAATGAAGATAATATCTACCTGTTCTAACTCTTGTTGATGCTGTTTAGTAAATCCACTAGCAGCTACCTGGACATCGAGATTGAATTCACGATTTATATCTAAATTGAATTTAGGATAAAGCATACTTTCATATCCATATTTCCGTTGAAAATATCTGCGTATGCACTCAACGTCTCGATCGAAATACCTGGTAATAACAATATAATTATTATTTTTATCTTCTCGCAAATACATAGATAGTAAATTATCAAAGCATATAAAAACACGCACCATTCAGCATTTGGATGTGACGTAGAGATCATCTGCGGAAAGTCGATGAGCACTGGTTCACCGTTTTCTTTTACCAGAATATTAAACTCATTGAAGTCCCCATGTATTAATCCGTAATTGGCTAGTCTAACAATGATATTCATGAGATCAGAGTATAGTTTTCCCGGGTCTTTAACTATTGATATTTGTCGTCTGATGATGTTAAACAGAAATTAATTAGAAACTAACATTTATATTACACATATTTATATTTGTTGTATACATACAACGGATAGGCGTTTATCAATTCCATCACTATACAATGTCGAACTTGATCTATTGGTGTTGGGACTGGAAACCCATTCTCGTGTAATACCTGTATAAAACTTTATAAGTACCATTAAAAGTTTTAAGAAGGTTTCTCGCGTTCATACTGCTGATTGTTATAAAATTACCTTCATAAACGCGTATTCTTTCATAGCAGCAAGACGTGACATGTACATCCATGATGCAGATTTTCGTTTCTTTAAATAATCACGTTTCGATTTGATCGCGCGAAAAGAAACGCGTCCAAGTCTATTATTCATTGATGATAATATTGGATAATTTTCTCGTTTATAAGTAAACATTTACTAATGATAATGATATTAATGCTTGGATCGACTACAAACCGATGTATTTTTAATACACGCTGACTCTCTTCTTCATCTGCTACAATATAAATATCTATATTTTCATAGATGAACAATTAATATACAATTTCATATCATATCACGATCATATTTATTCTTAATAATTACCGGACTCTTTCCCGACGCCAATTTGATTGCCCACAGAATAAATGCTTCCGCGTTTTACAAAAGTTTTTAGAGCCAAATAGTCATAACCACCATACGTCAAACGATATCCATCATCTGTTATGAAGTTAAATAAATTTTGTATATATGAACGTTAATAACTACAAATACGCAAATACCATAAGTGCTATATGTATGTATGGGAAGTACAGTAGGTAGCGTAATCATGTCAATTACATTAAGTACACAGATCAAGCAATAGATCCAATCTTCATAATCGTGCTCAAGAAACACCCAAATGCAGATATTTCATAATAAAACATACATTTTGCATTCTTTACCCGCGCTACTAAATTCTTTTTTGCTAATTCTCCCAATAACTTATGACTACCACCATGGCGCAAACCAGCAATTTGTGCAATAAGAGTAGTAGGAACTACCTCATGGTTTTTCGACCCCATTTCTACCTAGGATAATGAAAATGCCAACTAATCATAAATACACCATTCATATTGTAGTAAGTTATTTGTCCTTAATAAATATTTTCACAACGCCTTACCGCAGTTAAAACGCGGAACTCTTCCGCACTCATATATCTTAGCACTTTTGCATCTAGTTTCATGCTGGAATACAAAAAAATTTTCTGATTTGAATTTTGTATATATTATAATTATAGCTAATCAGTGATGTCAAAAAGAGTTTTTAAACAATTGCGACTATAATGCTATATGATTTACATACATCTATACAATTTTACAAAAATGAAATATACATAATTATTACTTTCGTCTTGATTTCTCATACGACTTTTTTTCGTGTTGTTCCGCCTCCAATATACTCATAATTCCTCCAATCTTTTTCTTATATGCAGCATCACGTTCCTTGATTTTGCTTAACTTCTCACGCGCAATAAATTGACTGTCCTTGCGCAACTCGCGAATTGCACCTTTTCGTTCTTTTTTGTATTGTGCCTTGAGTTTATTAAGTTGTGCTTGTTCGCGGGTTTTCGCTGATTTACGTTCTACCGAATAACTGTGTGTATTATATTTGAAGAAAATGGATATAATCAGTCATTCAGAAGCATGCAGCAAAGTGCAAAGTGCAAAGTTTTCGCATTTATTTAATTCATACGTTTCTTCGAATTTTGGGATGTAGGTGGCGAGTGGGATTGGTTTGTGGTATTGTAATTCAAGAGGACGGCGTGCCTCATTTGCAAATATTAGTAGCCGTCGTAGTGCGTCTTTTGTAGACTTGAGTTCAGTCTAAGATTGTATTGGAATATAAATTAATGGAACATAAAAAAGAAATCTTCGATTTCTCTGTTTCTTTTTTTGCCTTAAAAAAAAATACCTGTAATTTAGTCGAAAATTTTTCTTCCGGAAATTGATTTAATATGGTTAGCGAAGGGGTGAAAAGTTCAATGAACGCCGATTTTGAATTGTAAATCTTTGCGTATTGTAATATGAGATCCAAACATGCTGATAATGCTGAAACGCTATGATATTCAAGAGAAGATAAGCTAAAATACTTTGAAAATGGATAAGATGAAATTTAAACTCACCTAAACGAATCATTTTTGAAGTAGCCATAAAGTTCATCTTTATTAATCGGATTGCCCAATAACTCTGAAAAATTTAATTTCCGAGGTTCAACTTCCTTTGCATCCTTGATTTGAAGTGTTGGTATGAAAAACTCTTTTATAGGAAAATATCCAGGAATCGAGTCGATAGAAGTAAAAGTTTCAGGTGGCGCGAGATTAACTAGCGACGCGTAAAGATAATTTAATACTTCTGGAAACACTCGCTTCGATAAAGTTTGGTACTGAAAATCACATAAAATTAATATCAATGATAAATTTTCTTGATAATAATCTAGACTTCAATATACCTCTCTTAATAAATTGCATAAGAATAATCCTACTAATAGGTCTCTACCATTACGGATTGTATATTGTGTTAAATATTGTCCCATAAGTAGCATAGCAGGCGTGACAACTGGATGATGAAAATCCGAGGTGGGAAATATTTGTCCGATTAAACGTAAAATAATAAGATCGCTTGCTGTAGGAAATATTAATTTTTTTTCCCCAAAGGAAATTGATAAATATTTCGCAAGATTCTTCTGAATTTCTTCAAGTTTCTGAATAAACCATTGCGAAGCTTGCTCGGAAAAGTGTTGCGAAAGCTCGAACACGTTCTTGACAAGTTTATTAAGCAGCTCCATAGGAATCGGATTTTCTAGAGTCCGAGTAAGAATATAGTCTAAAAAAACTAGGAAAAACGCCTACAACGTTTAATGTATTATTAATTGAATCAGACTGATAAATTGATTGCGCAAAATCGAAATACCACAACATACCTCTAATTTTTCCCGATTTCCAGGTGACAGTTTTATATGATGCAATACATATATACGATGCACGACTACTGGTACATCCTTGTCTTCAACATCCTCTAGTATAGTTTGAAATTGTTCAAGTGTAGTAGGACAAGGGAAAGTATAAGCTAATTCCTTTTTCGATTCTTTATTATTTTTAGTTTGGTTTTCAACTTTAGCTCGCAATTTATCATTATTTTCATCATTACAATTACGAGCAGCATCCTTCTTATTCAAATTCTTAACATCTTTTTTCTTTTTTAAGAATTCTTTCCCTTCCTCCTCATTTTCCTCGTCATCATCTACATCAGTTATTTTTTCTTCTTTTTCATCATAATCTTCATCATCATCATCGTTAACTTCCTCTTCATCTTCATCGCTAACTTCTTCTTCATCCTCTTCATCGTCTTCATCGTCTTCATCGTCTTCAACGTCTTCGTCGTCTTCGTCGTCTTCATCGCCTTCATCGTCTTCATTGTCACTTTGAATGTCTTTAGACTGCACGCTTATCCCTCTACCAAGACCAAAATCACCATCTTCTTCCTCATCTGATATATAATCATCGTCCAAATCATCTGCCACTGGCGCACGTTTTTGCTTCTTACGACGTTTATTATCAGTTTCATCATCGTCATCTTCGGAATTTATTCTTTCCATACGTTTTTTCCGAGCACGCTAAAATTAAACATAATAAAATTAATTTATTTTTTCATTACAACACAGAATTAGTCGTCTTTATATTGAATATCCTATTTGATTGTTATTTTGAATAATTAAACTCATTAAGATCACTGTTTAGTGGTCATGCAATTTTCTAAATAGAAAATTAAAGGATAAATACCTCTAATTTTTCAAGTTTCTCTTTCTCTTCCAATGCTATTTCCTCTTCAGTTTTCAATCGATCCGTGGGCCTACCACGTTTTTCAAGAGCGAGTTCTCGCACGAATCTATCATAAGCATCAACTTGTGATTCTTGTGGTTCCCTGTTTTGCAGTTTTGATGGCGAAGCATTTGAAGAATTGTTCTTTTTTGAATCGCTTGAAGGAACGAGCAGTAAATCACGAATTTGATCCAGTTCCTCGTCTAATTGGTATCTAGTACGCTCATCCTCTTCTTTATTCAATTGCCTTTCATATTTATGCAATTTACTTTTTCCAATTATTTCTTCCATAATTTCCTTTTTTGATTTTGGTCGCTGAGGATGCGAATCGGAGATGTCTTCTTGCTCAGACTCATTAAAGCCTCCAAAATGATTTTTAGCAACGGTCTTACTATCGATAATCCCTTTTTCATTATCGGAACTCTCATCATTTTCACTCAACTCTAAATCAACTTCATCAAAATCATCAATCTCAGCCAATGATTGTCCATAATGAGTTAGATCATCATCAAGATTATACAACGATAGTTTTCCTCCGCCACTATTGTTATTGCGTTTTTGTCGTTCTTTAGTAAATCGCTCCAACATCTTCTCCTCTGGAGTCATCTGTGGATTGTTCTCGCCAAATCGACGATCAATCATTCCACCAGCTTTATTTTTTGTCTCCATCTCAGCTAGTAACGTTTTTTTTCGCTATTAAATTTTAATTAATAGTAAATAATTTTGCTTTAATCTCATTTAATAACCAATCCTCTTTTATGCACATGATCAACTATAAAAAATAATGAAAATTACATTCTCGTTTCCAATTTGTTTCTTTAAACCAGGACGACCCTGGACACCCTTAACTTTTCGACCGAGAACTGCATGTTTCTCCCGAGCAACTTTTATTTCAAATGGGTTAACCCTGTTCTTTAAAATCTCGAGCCTTTTTTCAGTAAGGTTTTTCACAGCGTCTGACACGTTTCCCTTCTTTCGGTTCTTTTTACTAACTGTCTTTCGCGAACCGGGACCAATTAAACCAGCTTCTTTAAGAGAGGATTTTAGTCTTTTTAAGGTAGAGCCGCCACTTCCTTTAGGTTGTTTCATTTTCCAATTTTCCAATGCAAATAGTAAATTTTTTAACCGTTTAACTATTGATCTGATCCTCCAATAAAAAGTCGCAACTTTATTTTTACAGATTTTGCAAATCGAAAAAATTGTTCGAAGTAATGAGTTTCATAGGATACAAAAAATTTGTAGAAGAAGGCGATTTGGTAGTCGCTTACCTAGTAAGTAATAAAGCTATCTGCTTTCCTTGAACCTATTATCTAAATTTAAGCATTCTTTTTAAAGTCTCGTGAAAATATGACTACCTTAATTATGGATTCCAAAGCCACATATAACAATAAATTCGGAACTTTTAAACATAAAGAAATGATCGGGAAACAATATGGAACAAAGGTACATTTGAAATGAAAATAAATGACCAATAAATTTATCCTTTAATTAAATTATTATTTCTTCCTAAAGTAGATGCCTTCTCACAATGGCAAAGGTTTCATGTATCTCCTTCATCCTACCCCCGAGCTATGGACACAAGTTCTTCCGCATAGAACGCAGATTTTATATTTAGCAGACATTTCATTTATAACAGCATACCTTGATCTCAAACCTGGCTCGATAGTATTGGAATCTGGTAATGCAATACCATATATATATATATATATATCGTTCATAAAATTAAATATCAAATTACTCAATTCATTAATTCAGGCACTGGAAGTGGATCAATTTCACATTCTTTTGCACGAACCATCGCACCACATGGGCATCTATATACTTTTGAATATCATGAGGAGCGTGCCAAAATTGCCAGGTGTGACTTCATTCATCCCTCCATTTAGTAAAATTTTCTCTACATAAACAACTCTCGTAATATAAACCTAGACAGGAATTTAAGGATCACGGTTTATCTGACTTAATAACAATAGAATGCAGAGATGTTTGTAAAAATGGATTTGGAATTACAAATAAAGTGCATGCTGGTAAATCTCACGCCTTAATTGTGCTGGAAATTTGAATCATTCTCATTAATAATTTATATATTTTAGTTTTTCTTGATTTGCCTGCTCCGTGGGAAGCAATTCCCGCAGCCAAAGAGGCTTTCAAGGTAATAATAGATTGTGAGGTTAACTGTATATATTATGAATAATAATAAAGGTTTATATTTTATAGAGGACTCGAATGGGAAAAATTTGCTGTTTCAGTCCATGTATCGAGCAAGTACAAAAAACGTGCACATCATTAAACGAAAATGGCTTTGTCGGTCAGTATATTTTTATTTTAAAGGATAACAATCAGAATATTAACCTCAATTATTCATTTTTTTCACAAGAAATCAAAATGTTTGAATGCTTACTTCGGTATCATGAGGTCAAGACAATACCAATATACACAGTTACTGATGCAGTCGCAAGTATTAAGACGCAACAAGCAAAAAAAAGGAAACATAAGGAACAAGAGGATGACAATGAAATTTCGGATGAGTTAATAATAGCTTCTTCTTCTAATGATAGTAGTGGTGTTAGTAGTAATTCCAAAGTAAAACAAGCTCCCCCTCCAAATTTATATGTTTCCAAGACGCCTACCGAGACTAAAGGTCATACAAGTTATATGACATTTGCTACTTATCTGCCAGTTTTGTATGATGAACAATAGATAAATAGTAAAACGTTTTTTTTTTGATAGGTTCAATCAATTCATCACTAGACATTTCAATAGCAAAAATGTTTTAGCATAAATAATTAATTAATTTATTCGCAGCTGCACTTTCTAATTATTCTCGATCATCCTCAGCGACCTTTTTCTCTTCATATTCTTTTATAAGCACATCAATTTCTTCGGATTTGTAAAACTGATATGTCACTTTTCCCTCCGCATTCAAATGAAGTGTTGCGAATTCCACTAAGTAAAATAAAGATTTTTCATTGAAGCTAATTAATCAAAAAAAAAAATAATCATTATGACTTACATTTATCGCTGGTCAATGTTGTAGTATCCATAGTTTTACCCAGCACTTTAAGCGCCAATAATTTAGCTTCATGTAGCGTAATCTCATCCTTATAATCCTGCTTTAATAGCGATTGAGCGGAAGCATTATTCGCGCCGATACACGTTGCCTTCCATCCACCATAATTACCGGATGGATCTGAATGATAAAGTTGAAATTGGTGGTGCGAATCGTAGCCAGCGTAAATAAACGATACACCATATGGACGAAGACCTGTATAGGTATCCCCGATATAATAAATTGATCTTGTTATTATTTATTAGATCCTGTGCTCTTTTCATTTTTAAACGTCAAATTACCTCCGAACTGAGTATACCCTTGTTTAAGATCACATAATTTTTGTACAAGCTGCTCAACGGGAATATCCTCATCATATGAGAGCAGATATTGCTGAGCCACCTGACGCGCATAATTTATGAGAATGTTGGCGTCAGCTGTCATACCTGCAACTCCACATATGATATTACTATATTCAAATAAAAAGTAAAATTAATATTAAGCAATTTTTAATGTCAAATTAAAATGACTTACTCGTTCAACAAATAAACTTTTTCGCTAGTAGTTGTTGATTCCAACAATTTCGAAGTAACCTTCTTTTCAGCAACAATGACAATGCCATCTTTGGCAAGAATCCCTAACGCAGTACCAGCTTGGGAAATTGCCTCCATTGCATATTCGACCTGATAAAGTCGCCCTATCATTTTATTAAAGACGGATTTTTGAAAAAAAAATCTTTTTAAAGTATGATAACAAAAATCATTTTTACCTTCAGGTGAGAAGATTGTCGTTCGTGTGTCATATCTTCGTGCCATGGTTTAAAAGTTTTAACCACCAGCAAAAAAGGTAGCGACAGTAAAATTGTTTTTGGAGTTATTACGTTCACAAACTCGCGCAATTTTTCTTCCAGAAAAATCTTATCGATGCACCGTCACGTGTTATAATGTATTTAATCTGCTGCCAAAAATTTGGTGATATCTGCCTCGTTATAAATGTCTTCACCGCGAGAACAGTTACTAATTATACTTGCTCAAGCCGTTTCACAGCAACAGCCAGAGTTGTTGAAAAATGCTGAGGCAACCTTAAAAGAATGGGAAACGGCTCCCGAGTTTCATTATACCTTGTTGGTGAGAACTAGAACTAATTTCCTCCCTCTTTTCCTTTTATGAGCTCAAAAGAGCAGGGAAATCTAATTTCAGAATACTTAGGACATAGTTTATGATAAAACCATTGAACAAAGTATTCGCTTCCTAGCTGCCATTTATCTCAAAAATGGAATTGATAAGTACTGGCGAAAAACTGCCAAAAAGTATGTATAATATTAAAATAGTATAAAGGAAAAGTGTTTCATTATTTATTATCACATGTTTACTTGATTTACAATATATAACGTTTAAGCTATATAAAATATGTAAATGTAAAAATTATTAGCTAGAATTAATTAAATTAAATTATTTGATTAATTTTGATTTTGATATTTTTGCAAGATCAATAATAAATATCAATGCCAACCTATTCTTTCTCTCTCTCTGTCTTGTAGCGCTATAAGACCAGAGGAGAAAGCACAAATTAAAAGTCGGTTACTCTCATTTATGGACGAGGAAATCAATCAGGTTCGCATCGAACATTAATTATGATATATATATATATATATGAGAGAAGCCTACCTTTTTTGGCTTGATTGTTGATGCGTTTCTTAGCAGATTATTGAAAAGTGAATCATACAATACAGAAAGAAACTGCGTTGAAATTTCACCGCAAAATTAAAATCTGTTCAATTAACAGTTAATTTTATCAAAATAAGTATAACTCTAACTTGTCATTTATTATTCTCAGTTAGCAATGCAAAATGCAATATTGGTTTCTAAAATTGCTCGGTTAGACTATCCAAAAGAATGGTGTGCTTCCATGTTTTCTTATATATTTTGTCGATCGTCTATTTCTTTACTGATCTTTTTTATTTTTTATCAATCCTCATTTCTTTTTTAATTTACTGCTTAATATTAATATTATACTACATTAAAAAGGCCTGATCTTTTACAAAATATGTTGAAAATTATACATGCAACTATAAATTCTGTAGGCGATTACCAATCGAGACTAATTCAGAAACGATTATTATTAACCCTACATCTCACTGTAAAGGCACTATGCTCTAAAACTTTTGCTCCTGATCGAAAAATGCTCGAACAGGTTTGAATTTATTTCACTGATATGTTTGCTACTTGATCTCATCCATTTCAAATTTCTTTTCTTTTTTAAAACTAGATCGCTCCAGATTTACTTCGAGATGTTGGCAGCGTATTTATTGAACATATAAATCGATTTTACGCGTTATTCTCTTCTAGTAATGATGTTTCTCAAATAACTATGGAGCTGGAGACTTCTATTTTGGCATTGAAATGTATCAGACGATTGATTACTCACGGATTTCAAGATATTACTGAAGTAGATCAAGCAAAGGTAGAGAAATATCTTCATGCTTTATTCTATTCATCAAATTGTGAATTATAAGATGATTCTCGCTCAATGATGATTCTAAAATTTAGAGGTTTCCAGGACTCCTCTTTGATTACTTGCAGAAATTCTTCAATTTGAGTACGTAGATCAACTAGCATGTATCTTGCATTTTCAAATTGCAATATTAACGTGAATATATATAATTTTATAATAGGAATTTCAATGCAAGATGCTGAATCTCCGATTTTCGCTTTTATCGAATCTCACATTACTCTTATTGGCAAGCTATATATTGATTTACAAAAGACGCATCCGGTCCCATTTGCACTTGCACCGCAGGCTATGGAAATTGTAAAATATTATTGGAACGTTCTTGTTGTGCATGGACCATCTTATGATCAAGGTCAGCAATCTTTTTTTAGACAATAAAATACTAAGGTTAGATTTGCTTTCTATGATGATTTTTTATTTAATTACATATAGTATAAAATTTTTGTTTAATTAGGATTGTCAACAAATTCATCACCGATGCAATTCGAAAAGTTCTTCGTGCAAGCTTTATTGCTTATTAAAGGAGTAATTAAGAAGTCTGCTTACAATCAAAATCCGCGGGGTAAGCTTAGTTTTGAAGATACAAAAGCAAAATACAGCGACGGGAGATTTTTTAATCTTTAGAATCTGAATTAATTTGATCAGGGATTGATAAGTCAAAAATAGCAGCAGCCATTAAAACAGTAGATAATGAATTTCTCACGCCAGAGTTTATTACTTCTTGTGCTGAAATCTTGATATCAAGATTTCTGATTCTAACGAAGGAAGATTTGAACATGTGGGAGGAAGATCCAGAAGGTTGGGTGAATTCTTCAGAGGCTGATCACTGGGAATATCAATTAAGAGTGAGTGTTTTAATAGTTATTATAAAGTCATGTGACTATCAACCTCAATTTTTTATATATATAATCAATTAGCCATGTGCCGAAAAAGTTTTTATGGAATTATTAGTACAAAATCGAGAACTTTTGTCACCTCTTATAATCAAATTACTAGAAAATGTTGCATGTAAGAAAGAGATTTAAAAAAACTTTATTTAAATTTTAATATTTAATTATTAATTATATGCTATTTTTCTTAATTAACTTAGCATTCTCTGATGAAAATAATTTATTGCTGAAAGATACTGTGTATTCAGCTGTTGGACTTGGTTCTCATGAATTATATGATGTATTGGATTTTGATAGTTTCCTAGTCAATCATTTAGTCAACGAAGTTAGAAATCGTAACCCAAGGTATTTTTGGGTTTATTTCGATTAATTATTATATATACACGTATTATATATGGAATTCTTGAACAAAAAAACCTCTATCGTTTTAGCTTCAAAATAATCCGTCGTCGCATTGGTTGGTTGATTGGTAAATGGATAAGTGTGAAGATTTCGAAACAAGTTAGATCAAAAGTATATGAAATTATGTTGCAATTAATGGATCCCGCTGAAGATTTAGTGATCAGAATAACGGCTGCTATAAATTTACATAATTATATCCTTTTTAATTATAGACAAATTACATTGTATTGTGTACTAATATATTAAAATAAAATAAATTTCTTAACCTTTCTATCATACGTATAGACGAATGGGATTTTGACGCGAACGTTTTCTCTGAGTATCTTGATCATTCGGTCACATCATTGATTCAAATCATTATGGTGGTAGAACAATTTGATACTCGGATGAAGATTTTAAATTGTTTATCTGTTATAATAGAACGAATGGAAGAAAAGGTGGATTTATCTTTTGAATTTTTCAATTTTCATAGCTTATAAATATAATTTAAGCTAAATTTATCTATCAGATTGCTCCGTTTACTCAACACATAACATCGTTACTACCACCTCTCTGGGAAGCTTCACGGCAAGAACCTTGGTTTAAACCGTCTATTTTGACCATTCTAACTAGATTAGTAGGGGTTTGTATTTGCATTCTCTCTCTCATATATATATATATATATATATTATTTTAATATTGCTTCTATGCCCATCATTATCTTATAATTAATTTTTTTCTTAGGCTTTAAAAGAAAATTCTAGTAATCTCCAAGAGTTTATAAAACCTCTATTACAGTATAGTATTAATCCTAACATAGTAAGAATAATTTATTTTTCATCATGCATTTTACTTTGTCACGTATTAACCGTTATTTGTGATATAGGAAGAAAGTGTCTATTTATTAGAAGACGCATTGGACTTATGGCTTGCTATCCTTCAAAATACCGAGCAATGCACACCCCTTTTATTTGAACTAGTGCCTTCTGCCATTGCATTGTTAGAATTCGGATCAGAAACATTAAAGAGAGTTTTAAAAATTTTAGAAAGTTATATTATCCTCGTGCCTCAGATGGTGATCCAGGTGATTGTACGAATTAATTATTTTTTTAAAAGATAGCAATTAATAATATTATTTGAAAAATTACAGACATTTGGACATTCTATTTTGGATGCATTTACGCGTCTCCTAGGTGACCTTAAAACAGAAGCAAGCAATTTTGTTATTCATGTGATTGACACAATATTGCAGACTTGTCCAATTCGGTTAACGGGCGAAACTCTAATTGGTACTGGTCTTCTATGGAAGCTTATGAATATTGTATTCGAGGCTGAGGTAGTTAATAATATTATTTGTAAATAAATTATTATAATTTAATTAATTAATTAATTAATTCTTTGAAATATCTTAGAAGCAACCTTATAATGTTGTCGGCTATATATCAATATTCGCTCGAGTTGTCATAAGCGAGCCAAATTACTTTTTACAATTCATTGCAATTGCTGGCCAACAATCAAATACACAGGAGCACGCATTGCTCGAAAAAGTGTTGGATGTATGGATTGAAAGGGTAAAATTTTAGCTGTTTAAAAAAAATCAAGCTTAATATTTGGTAAAAACACGTTCTTAATGTAACTATTTACAAATGAAAATTACATAGTTTGACAATATTGCGCATCCAAAGCAAAGGAAACTGAATGCTATGGCATTCACCGCTTTAATTGCCATCACAAATACCATCATCCTGGCGCGTCTACCGCAGTTTATTAGTATCTGGTGCGATGTCCTAAGCGAAGTTCGAGAAAATGGCGGAGGAGAGTAAGTTATTTTACTTCAGACCTTAAACTAATTGAGCGGCCGTTTTTCTATTTATAATCATTACACCCACATATTTGATAATGTGAAGCGCTCTAGTTTACTGGGAACATGAACCAAACGAAAATAAGGAATTTGTCAATGAAGAAGAAACTGCCGAAACTAAGAGACGCAGAGCGGTATATACCATTACATATTTCAATATTTTAATAATATTTTTCGATAACAGAATGAATATATATTTTTTTCTTAATTAGTTGCTACAACAGGACCCAGTTCATAGTACCAATTTGATCCAATATATTCAGGCAAAACTAACCGAATGCGAGACTTTAAATGGCGGACCGGACTTATTCCGACGACAATATTTAGCTTCTATCGATAATGATTTGCTAGATCAGTTTTATAGTCTAATGTCTTGATTTTTGTTATTTATTGCAGCTTAGATTGTAAAATCAATAGATGTAAATCTTCATCCACAATCGACAAGGGCCCGTAAAAATTTGGCTCCAAATTATTCCAAACAAGTCCAAATTTCCGTGCATTTCCCAAATTTTTGGCATTTTCCAAATTTTCGAGGAGTTCTTATATATGATCACATGATCTATGTTTCAATTGGTCGAAAATGTGAAATTTTTTCGCTCGGGATGTTTAATTTTAGGATGTCAAAAAACAAAACCGCGATGGAACTTCAAGGAATTTTTAGATGAGTGCGAGGAAGAAACTTTCAAACAAAAAATTGAAACATACCTTATATCTCTTGAGAACCTGAACGACGATTCATACAGTAAAGCATGTTTTTTGTTAGATAGGTATAGAAAGGCAAGTATGATTCTTGTATGATGACTTCAGTGAGTTATTTAGTGGCGGTGATAAGTTCTACGGAAATCATCATTAAGTCTAAGGACGGGCCCATAAAACCGGTGTGTGTGGCACGGCGAACTACGGTTTTAGCTGTGCTTAAATCTACGGATAACCACCGCTGGTACCACTGGTGCGTCAATAACTACGGTTACTTTGATGTTAAGTCTGCGGACAACCCAGTGGAAAGTAGAGAATTATGAAGATATTGATGATCAAGATCATTATTAATTGACTAAAATGTTAGTTTTTTCTTAGGGAGATAAACCCGATTATAAAGAAGCTAGAAAATGGAGGGGATGAAAACGGTAAACAAAAAGAGGTTAATAGACCTTTGATTCAATTTTTGGGTAACAATATCTATGGTGGAAACAATGGTACTTTAAACATTGAATCAAGAAAGAGAAAATCTACGGGAATTGACGAGTTAAATGCAACCAATGCTACTGAAAACGTTGAAGATATTTGTGTTGATGGTGAACAAGTCGTAAGTTATATATTTATTCTATTTCTCGTGTGTTTTTTGTATTGTTCCGTGTAATTAATTTGCCTTCTTTGCCTTTTTGTTGGACACACTGATAGAAAAAACTTAATCTTGAGGAAAGTTGGGAGTTTGAACAACCAATTCCTGACTGGCTCAAACGAATTCATCAACATCGCGAAAATCTCGCCACCACAACTGACGCAACTGACATTGAATCACTGTCTCAAGTAGCAGAAACGTAAGTTCACAATTACAGTATATGATTTTTTGCTATAATCAAAATATATGATTCTGAAATCTTTCTATTGTTAGTGCCATTTGGTGGCATATCATTGACACATGTGATCCGAAATTAACTAACATTATTACGGAACAAGAGTTTTTAAACCTAAGCGAAAGTTTACTTTCCAACCTTCCATCGGACTGGGAAGTGTTAGAGCTACCAGTATAACTTGAGTGGTGCATTACTTATATAGGTCACTATAGCTATAACACAGATTTATTATAATATCAAATATCACTATTCAGCATTATTTGTTACAGATTGAGTTTTATGTGAAGAATTTGAAGAGGAAGCAGAAAATAAACCAAAAATATTGCACAATTAATCTAATAAAACTACTTTAATTGATAAATAAAAATTTGAACTTTATTAATATGTCTGTGATAATAAAGAGGTACTTAATGCATATGTCAACTGGATTAAAGCTAAATAAAATATCATAATTCATAAATTTACAATTTCTCAAATTTTAAAAGATAGTTATAAATATTTAAATAAGAATATTGCTAACTTTAATTTGAAATAGCACAAACTGATTAAATTTTCTGAACTTGAGCATGCATATATGAAGTTTATACTAACTTACCAATATTATATCATTCTGAGTGATGTAATTATAGTAAAAGCCAAATTATTTGCTGAAAAATTACAAATTTCTGAAAGTAAATTATAATTCTCTTCTGATTGGCTTTAGAAATTTAAAGAATGAAACAGAATATAGTTATGAAAACTTCATGATGAAGTAAACTCAAGTAATCAGAATGTTATTATCAAGAATCTTTCATTATTACATGAAAAACTATCAAGATTTTCTTTAGATAGAATTTATAATATGGATGAATCTAATAGATTATTAATAATGATATATCTCTCAGAATAAAAAAAAATAAAAAATATCTATTTATAACTTTATACGCAAATACTAATAACTCACACAAGCTAATTCTTTAATAATTAATAAATATACAAAATTAAGATATTTTAAGAATATAAATCTTAATAGTTTAAGAATGACTTATCATAATAATAATAGTACTTAAATATTAATAATTTTATTTTAAGAATAGTTGAGTAATTTTGATATTAAAATTTCTAAATTATATAAAGATTAATTTATTTTAGATAATTATTCAAGTTACATTACAAAAAAAGTAAGTAAGTCTCTCAAATATTAAAATATATAGTCCGGTACAAAAATATAGATACATCAAAAAATAAAATTTTTAGTTGTCTCTAATGAAAAATTTGTAAAATCTAATTAATAGTTA